CGGCGCTCGTCAATTTTTGGGCATATAGAGTTACTGGTATCTTCATAAAGCTTGTTCATTTGTCTTTATTTGGATGAAACAAATATCCAATTATTTTGAATACAAGTCGAGATGTTACCGAAAGAAGGAGGTGGGAGTCACCTGTTTTCAGAGGTAAAATAAGTGAAAAAATGGCGCCATATATTAGTTATTCCCTTAGCTTAAGAGTCCATGGTAACTGAACATTTACATTTCTTGTGCCTTTAATCAATGTTTTTCAGAAAAATCCAAACAGAAATGAGTTCTTTAATGTGCATAAAAGATGTTTAGCCAAAAAACCCAAATATTTGATAAAAATTCACAAAGCTGTGGAAAAAAGCAAGTTTCTTCACTTTGATTATTTTGACGAGAGCCTGATTCCACCATGCTGCCTCACATATTAATATGTGTCACAACGCAGTGGAATCTGGCGCTCGTCAATTTTAAGACATACTATAAAGTTATTGGTATCATCTTAAAGCCTGTCCATTTGCCTTGCTTTTGATGAAAAAAAAATATCCATATATCTTGGATACAAGTCATGACAATGGCGATTGAAAGAGATGATCTTGCCGGGTTTCAGAGGTAAGATTAGCGAGAAAATGGCCGCCAAAGTTGATTTGTTTTCTTAGTTTCAGAGTCCGTGGAAACTGAAAATTTACACCTTTTATGATTTTAATCATCGTTTTTCCAGTAAAATCCAGACAGAAATATATAATTGACGCTTTTTTTTAAGGCATGAAAGACGTTAAGCCAAAAAACAAAAATTCAATAAAAAATCCAAAACCAGCTGAAAAATACCAGTTTCTTGACTTTCATTATTTTAAAGAGTGCCTGATTTCACCACGCTGCCTCACCTATCACAATACCTTTTGTATTTGTAAGCGTTTTACAGTACTTGCAACTCAGTATGGTCACATGAGTGCCGAAAATTAGATGTGTTGCAAGAAAGTAGCAAACACAAAAAGGAGGAGGAGAGATAAGGACGATAAAGTAAATGTTTGATAGGAAACAAGTGGCAAAAAATACTGGAGCACCCGCCAGCCATCAACTTACAAGGATTTTGCAGAAAGATGGAGATACCAGATAAACATCCTGCCCACATTAGAATCGAACTCAGGTCTTCTGTGTGCGAACTCGCAACTCTAGCCTACATATTCCGTGTAAGGCGGAATTGGGGCATAAATACAATTGAAAAGATAATATTATGCTTATTGAAAAATACAGAGAGGGCCAGGTTAATATATGAAAGCCCCTTAAGAACAGCCAAATTAGAATTGAATGAAATTTGAAGGTGGTCGACAGATACGCCTTGGCAGTTGGACATTAAGGAAGTTCATGCCCCTATAATCTAATCTGATTTGATAGTTAATGTGTTTGGGAGTGTTTTTGTTTTGTTAAGTTACTTTTATTTTAAATTTGGGTGGAGGTTTCAAACTGGTAGGTTCTTTTTGCATTCTATTGAGGAATAAATTAACCACTGACGCTGCAAAACGTATTCCAAACAAACAAAAAATAAGACTAACCTAAAATTAGGCTTTTGACTTTTGGCTTTGACCTGAGGATGACTTTGGGGTTCACAGTGATTTGGAACGGTATCCTGCACAGCTTTAGGCTTCCTTTATTCTTCTCTCTATCGTTTCTCTCTGACTATCACAGTCTCAGCTACAGAATAAGTTTCTGGAGCTTTGTCCCATCAGTTGATACATGAACATCACACTAATATGCCCATATTATTAGTTTCCTTTTACGCCGAAAAGCGCCTTACCATATGACGTCACGTCGCGACTCATAATAAATATGTAGCCGCACAAAGTGCCACCCGAGAAATGTAAAGTTCTATCTCCTAAATACCTAGATCTAGTTTTTAGAAATTTGACGTAAAAATGTTTAGTTTCATAACATGTCAATCTTTTTCGAATGCAGTCCCTTTGAATATTTTGATAGCGACTCCGAATGGTCTGACAATCTTGATAAAGCCGATAGACCTTTTTTTGTTTTCCAACCTCATGGTCTTAGTAACTCAAACAGGCCGAAAATGTCAGGTAGAACTTTGTAATTCTGAGGTAGTCAATAAATATGGAGACCTAGGACGTGCGTAGAAGGTCGAGTGAGTTCTGAATGGGGAACTCAAGAAAACCCTTGAATCATGATGGGGGGAAACCAGTCGTTCGTTTATTGGGGAAAAAGAGTTATTGATACATTATGTGGCGTCCTTGGCCTATTGGTTAGACTCTCAGACTCACAACCGTAAAGTCGTGGGTTCGAATCCCGTCAGGAGCCCGACGTTGGTTCCTTGGCAAAGGCACTTTACACGAATTTTCATCACTTCATCCAAGTGGAAACAGGTTCCGAGCTATAGACAGAGAAAATCTTCTCAGTTTGTTAGCGTTTGAGCGCTTAATCAGCTGCTTGCATTGTATGCTTCTCGGGAGGCTAAGAATATTTCTGAGTGTCCTATGGTCTGCTGGGGTAATAATATTATGTAAAACGCATAGAGTTTGCTGTCGAGCGGGGGTATTCGCTATACCAATGCTATTTATAATTCGTAATATTATCTCTTAGCTTGCTCATTTGCCCTGATTTTGGTAGGAAAAGTATACATTTATCTTGAATAGAAGCCAGGATATTTGCAATTGAAGGA